TTTACACGGATCCGTTCCCTACCCTCTATTGATGAAACATGAAACATGCAAGTTGCCACGTTCGTTTCAAAAAGTGGGACAAGTCAATTAGAATAGATTTAAACAAAAATACCGAATTACCTGAGCTAAAAAATACAAGAGGTACAAAGACTTACACTAGGCCTACACTAGACTTACACAATCGCAGGCGATTCCGCAATAATGGATTAGTTAATATTAACTATACCGAAAAGGTTATTGGTAGAGTGCAAGAGCGGGTCTTATGAAAGTCGTACAAAAAAGTATTGTGTTTCCCCTGTAGGTCCCGGCAAGGTTGTTCGTATGTGGTTGGTGGGACCATGGCCTCCTTAGGGTTAGTCTTACGGGCTCTGTCCGTCGTTTTAATTAACCCTCCAGAGGCTTTTGTCCCATAATTAATGTTTTTGTTATATTTGATTTCATGTTAAGCAGCGAAAACCAGATTACCTTATAATTATAGTATGCCGTACGCGTTATGACGTGAGCCCAAAAAAGCTTGCTGCGACCGGTCCCGCAAACAAGGCCTTTTCAAGCCTTCTCTAGAAATAGAAAAAAATTGGCTGTTGTGATAAACGACACAGTATATGCCTCGACATATACTACGACAACTACCTCAAAACGGATCCGTTCCCTATCCTCTATTGATGAAACATGGTGGGCGTAGTTAATTTGCCAGTTTAATTGAAATGCATCAAATTTGATTCTCGAGAAGTCGTGTAAGCGTGGTATTCCTTCAAGCAGTCTCAGGTAGTGATTGTTCTGTCTTATTGGAACGACTTATAGTGCAATCCAGCTATTATTTGGCCACAATGCGGAGACCCCTGATAGCATTGCCCAGGTCGATTTGGTGCCTGTGCTGCGTCAATTCAGCGTTGGTCGGTATTCCGTACGGTGAGTGGGGATGACTCCAACCGGTTGTAACTCCCGCCAACAATTGGAGGAACACATTATTGGGCCAGTGCACTAGACCCGACAGGCGCATTTA